AAAAATCAAAATGATAGCTATGTCTATCCTTTAAAGCATTGAAAATGTAGATGCTTCATAGTGATGCAGAAAGAAAACCAGAAGAGTTAATTAACTTGTTTATTATTTTTAAATGATTACTTGTTGACTTAGTTTTAGCCATTAATCAAATAAATATGAGATAGGTATTTGAAGTCTTCTGGAGAAAAGTAAGAAGGGAGGGTTTAGTCAAGGTACATCTGAGTTTTTATCTGAGACAAACATTTCTAAGAATGCATGTATATTCAGTATTAAAAGCTCAAGTATTCTCAGTGTCAAACTTAAGATTTTTATAAAAGAGTATATCCTTTCACAGACAAAGGTAGATTTACGTATTGCACAGATTTGTGTCTCCTACATAACTAAAAATTTCAGGATGATTCCTGGACTATTCGATTGTTTTCAGAATGTTACCATTGCAGGTTTCTTGGCATATACAGTTTCTTATTGACTCAATCAACTTTTTTTCAAAGTTGAACACACTGGTATGTCAGATATTTAGTACCGCAGTCACATGCTGAAATTCATTAGTCAAATATAGCCTCAGGAACCTATATTATGATTTCTACTTATAAAACCTGTAACCTTCTTAAGAAATCGTGACTGTATTTTATTCATCTATGCCTGCAGTTTTACAGACTCTGGGATTCTCTTGATCTTAAAATTTGTTCAGTTTTCATTTTCTATTTGCTTCGCCCATTTGACAGTTTAAACAAATGTATTAAAATTATTTGAATAAGTAAGCAATGTACATGTATTGTTCTTGCCGTTTCAATTTTAGTATATAAGGTGTCTAATTATATCCATGAGGTAAAATAACCTCATCAGTCATTAGAGATCAAAAGTTGAATTAAGCCATAGAAAATGTTGATTTTTGAAAGCAGCCCATTATCTTGTCAGCTTTCCATGACCTTTATGTTTGACTATAGTAGAACATAGTATGTATATCCCTGATCTATCTATTTTTTATAAAGTGGCAATGATTAAAGGGGCAAACAAGTATTATATTCATATCCTTGGTCATTTCCTCCTCCATGTAATGCTGTGAATCTGTTTTGCAAATTTTGGTGTAACTTCTTCAGCAAAAGTGTTAGCTAGCTAGGCAGAGCTATAATTTTTTCTCATTTGGACAAACTTATTCTCATGTCATTGCAAACTGCCATCTGCAGGAAGTAAACACAAAATGTTTTTCTATTCACTGTCATGCTTTCTTCAGATTGGTGTATAGAATCTATACAGGTAAAACATTTTTGGCTTAGGATATAAGTTTAGCCACACCTCTGGGTCAGGAGGCCGCATTTGTTCTATAGGCTATGTTTTAAATCCAAGAACAAGACTGGTTGGTAATAGTGGTTGGATGAACTCAGCATTTACTGAAAAGGTTTTGAAATGGCAAGATCAGGATGTGATTTTAGGATATCATAGAGAGAAAGAGAAAATAGTGCTAAATAAGAGTGGCAATACAAAGAACAGATAATGTGGGTAAATCAGGTGACTAGCTAAGTTAAGATCAAGTTTGAGAGAAGTGCCCTCAACTCTCAGAGGTTACTCAGGACTTTAAGATTGTTTATAGGTTCGTGGTTCACAGATGAGCAGGTCGTACACAGTTGCCAAATTGGGCAATATCATGATGTTCTATTGTAAATGAGGTTTTTCTACAAATTTTTCAATGTTAATTTTTATTGTCACTTTTCTAAACTACTTTTTTTTTACCCAAACCACTTAATGGAGTTTAGTTATACAAAACTACCTTTAATAAGAATTTTGAAACCTGGAGCCACTAAGAGTTAAGTTCTATGGTTATACGCTTGAAATAGAAGCCAATAGGCCAGGCCTGGTGGCTTATGCCTGTAATCCCTGCACTTTTAGAGGCTGAGGCAGGTGGATCACAAGATTGAGATCAAGACCCATCCTGGCCAATGTGGTAAAACCCGTCTCTACTAAAAATACAAAAATTAGCTGGGTATGGTGGTACATGGCTATAAACCCAGTCCTTGGAAGGCTGAGGCGGGAGAAACGCTTGAACTCAGGAGGTGAGATTGAGTCACTGCATTATTTTAGCTTGGCGACAGAGGGATACTTTGTCTCAAAAAAAAAAAAGAAAAAAAGAAATAGACCAATAAAGTAGTTTTTCATGAAAATATTGAATTTCATTATCTTATCTGTGAGAAACCTTATATTAAAATTGAAATAGTGTGCATAATATGGCATTTGTTAATAAATATTTTATAGTACTTATACATTAATTACTCTGTAAATTATTAAACATTGAATGCTTATACAAATATTATATAATGAGGAATAAAAATGAAAATATTCCAAATTATTATTGAGAATAAATTTTGTTATTCTTTTCCAAGCCGTTAAAACAATAATACTTTTTGAGTTGTTTAAGTTCCGTATACACTCTGGATATTAAACTCTGTAGGATGATAGCTGGTGAATATTTTCTTGTATTCTGTAGGTTGTCTGTTTACTCTGTTGATAGTTTCCCTTGACGTACAGAAGCTCCTTAGTTTAATTAGATCCCACTTGTCACTTTTTGTTTGTTTCAATTGCTTTTGAGGACTAAGTCAAAACTCTTTGCCAAGGCTGATATCAAGAAGAGCATTTCCTAGGTTTCTTCTAGGATTCTTATAGTCAGAGGTCTTACACTTAAATCTTTAATCCATCTTGAGTTAATTTTTGTATATGGTAAAAGGTAGGGGTCCGATTTCTTTCTTCTACACATGGCTAGCCAGCAATCCCAGTGCCTTTTTATTGAAGAGGGAGTCCTTTCGTCATTGCTTAATTTTGTCACCTTTGTCAAAGATTAGATGGCTGTAGATAAGCAGCTGTATTTCTAGACTTTCTAATTTGTTCCGTTGGTCTGTGTGTCTGCTTTTGTACCAATACCATGCTTTTATGGTTACTGTAGTCTTGTAGTATAATTTGAAGCCAGGTAGTGTGATGCTTCCAGCTTTGTTGTGGTTGTTGTTGTTTGCTTAGCATTATTTTCGCTATTCAGGTTCTTTTTTGGTTTCATATGAATTTTAGAATAGTTGTCTTCTAATTCTGTGAAAAATGATGTTGATAGTTTGATAGGGATAGCACTGAATCTGTAGATTGCTTTGGGCAGTATGGCCATTTTAGCCATATTGATTCTTCCAATCCATCAGAATAGAATGCTTTTCCATTTATTTGCATCATCTATGATTTCCTGCAGCAGGATCTCCTGGTAGAGATCTTCACCTTGTAGAGAAATCTTTCGCCTCCTTGGTTAGATGTATTTCTAGATATTCTGGTTTTATCATGTGTGGTTATTTTAAGTTAGATTATATTCTTAATTTGGCTCTCACCTTGAATCTATATGTGTATAGAAATTCTACTGATTTTCAGGCATTGATTTTGTATCTTGAAACTTTATTGAAATTGTCTAACTGTTCTAGGAGCCTTTCAGCAGACTTTAGGATTTTCCAGGTATCGAATCAGTCAGTGATGAGAAACCCTTTGACTTCTACTTTTCCTATTTTGATGCCTTTTATTTCTTTCTATCGCCTTATTGCTCTTGCTAAGACTTCTAGTAATATGTTGAATAGGAGTGGTGAGAGTAAGCATCCTTGTCTTTTTGTTGCTCTTCCAGCTTTTGTTCATTCAGTAGGATGTTTTGGGTTTGTCATATATGACTTACTTGACAGATGTTCCTTTGATGCCTAGTTTGTTGAGGGTTTAAATCATTGATAACCCCATTAAAAAGTGGACAAAGGATATAAACAGGTACTTCTCAAAAGAAGATATACAGGAAGCCAACAAACATAAAAAATGTTCCGTATCACTAATCATCATAGAAATGAAAATCAAAACCACAATGAGATATTATCTCACACCAGTCATGGCTACTGTAAAGTCAAATATAGCAGATGCTACAAAGAAAAGGGAAAGCTTATACACCCTTAGAAGGAGAGTAAATTAGTTCAGCCACTGTGGAAAGAAGTTTTGAGATTTCTCAAATAACTTAAAACAGAATTACCATTTGACCCTGCAATCCCATTACTTGGTAAATATCTAAAGGAAAACAAATCATTTTACCAAAAAGACAGTATGTGTTTGAAATATTTTGAGCTCCTCTACTAACTCACTCGTATGTTCATTGCAGAATTATTAACAATAGAAAAGACATGAATTCAACCAAAGTGCCCATTAATCCTAGATTGGGTTTTTAAAATGTGGTATTTATATACTATGGAATACTACACAGCCATAAAAAAGAATGGAATCATGTCTACTGCAGCAAAACTAATCTAAGTCATTATCTTAAGTGAATTAAGGCAGGAACAGCAAACCAAATGCTGCATGTTCTCACTTATAAGTCAGAGCTAAATATTGGGTACACATAGACATAAAGAGGACAATAATAGACACTGGAGACTACTAGAGGGGGAAGGGAGTGGGGGCAGGGGCTGACAAATTAGCTATTGGATACTATGCTCACTACCTGCCTGATGGGGTAATTTACACTCCAAACTTCAGCATCACACAATAAGGCCATGAACAAACCTGCACATGTACTGCTTATATCTAAAACAAAAATTGAAGTTATAAAAAAATCAACAACATTCTTGATATGCTTGATAAAAGCCCAATATCATTTTTAACATTGCACCTTTTTCCATTAACCTTTTTCCAGCAAGTTTCAATTCCTTTCAAATATTTGACACATCTCAGAATAAATAGTACCATCTTAGAAAATGATTTAAAAAGTGCTATTTTCTTTTATCACCTGCATACATTTGGAGAGGAGTGAGAGAACCTGTATAGGTCTGTAAAACCCATGTGCTTATTTATAAAATCCAGCTTGTCTCTAAGTAAATTGATGTTACTGGTGCCCTATTTAGAATACATGCATTGTAAGTAATCAAAATTTGTATGTTTTGCCTAAGCAATTACGTAAATGATTATTAGAGGTGGCATGTTCATAATGACTTTTCTGGTTTTCTTTGAAGGATCCTCTGTTTCACCTGGAATCAACTATATCTGAGAGAGGAAGAGGCAAATGTCCTTATGACTCCAGCTCCTCCTTTGTCTCCACTTTAATTGGTAATTATTGTTGCCACTGACATCAGGTGATAGTTGTAATAATTTTAAAATGTACTTTTCAACTTCAGTTACATTCTTTCAGCATTTCTTTATATACTCTGCCTTGTTGTATCTATTTTCTGCTGCTCAAAGCAAAGATATTAAATTTCAAGCCATGTTAACTTGAGCAATTTGACTCTAAAATAAGTGCAGATGCTATAAAGTATATGTGTCTCACTCAGAAAAATTGTCATTTAATATCTCATATATTTGGTGTCATTTGATGCTTAAAAATGAAATTATTTGAAGGCTTTATAAAAATTTTGCCAAAAGAAACTATTTTAATATATATGTTAATTCTTCATGTTTCAATTACTTTGCAATCGCAGAGAATTTTAATATTCTTTATGGTACATTTCTCTGTTATTAGTAGAATTCGGCAGAAAGTCATCTCTTTTAAGAAATTTGTTTATCTAAATTTCTGTTAGAGTGTAAACTAGAGGTTGACCCGCTCAAACTGTCACTAAATGTACATGTTGAAATAATGCCATGAGTTGATAAAGTTGGATCTGGAGTTCAATTCCGTTCAATTTAATTAGACAAAGTACCAACAATCTCACTTAAGATACAACTAAGCAATATTTTCCTACTGTTCAGGGTTAAAAATGGCAAACTTGGCAAACTGTTTCAGCACTGTGACAGTACAGACTGATGAATGAGTTCCTAAGCATGAAATTAAAAAGAGCAATCCCCAACACCTAACATAGGTACTGATGTAATGATTTTTTCCTGAGTGTTGAGAGGTTCTGATGCATGCATAGTGCAGATGTGCAAGGTTCTGTTGTTACATTTGTAATGTTTAGAGTTATATGCTAATATTAGGTCATCTTCTTTGTAGAAAATGAGATAGTACAAAATAAGATGTAGAGATTTCATATTCTAAATAAAACATTAAAACTTAAAACCCTCCCCTGATGATTGAACCATGTTATAATTGATTTAGAGTTGATATAGCTGCCACTGTGTGTTCTTTAGAATCTGTTCCCTGAGCTTATTCAAGACAGTTATTTTGATGGTTCTTGCACTTGACTCCCTAGACTTTCCTGTCCCACATCTGGTTATCAGGTATAAAAAAATAAAACTTTTAAAAACATATATATTTATATAGCAAACACCTCATGTTAACTCTAATGGGAAAAGTTTGACTTACTTCAGCTTCTTAATTTGACAAGGCTATAACATGAGAATTATATAGTAATTGAGTTCTTCAGTGGCTTGAATAAATAGGTACAATATTTAAAAATAAATATTAAAGAAAAATATTATTTTGAGTTTCCCCACCAATTGTGTGTGTGTGTGTGTGTGTGTGTGTGTGTGTGTGTGTGTGTGTAAATAGAGTATTAAAAAAGGAAGATTTTAAATATGGGAATCTGGTTGCCTAAGTCAGGTTAGACTTAGTAGAAGTCACAACCTTAGAAATAACACTTTTGGGGGATGCCAGATCCATAAACGCTAGAAACTCCAAAGCGATTGAAAGAATGTAAATTAAAATGTATATATCTGATAGTCTCATAAATCTTTTTCTAAAGTTGTTAGTGATTTTTTTCATAAATATTTTAATATTTATGAACAAAAGAGACTTTCTTTTCTTTCTTGTGCCATGTAGTCTCTTGCAAAGACTAGGTCTCCTATAAATACTAAATTTCATACTCGCTGAGGTACCTAAACAAATACAAAATTAACTTTGGAATGTTGTTTTCATAAGAATCATATAAAGGGAATTGGAAACTAAAAATTACACAGTATATACTGCTTCTATAGTGAAATCCTGAGAATATTAGAAGAAAAATTATTTTTTAACATTTCATTTAAATAGTTAAAAATAATTTCTATGACCACCTTGCCACTCACTACTCAGTATCCCTGGAGCTTTTTTCTGCATGAAGCCAAGAATTTAAAAGTGGAATTTCTAAGAGGGGAAATATTACTGGAGGGACATTTCCAAGTGAGTTTCATTGAACTTCCAAATCAAATTACACTATGCTGAAATCTGAAGTGCTTGCCATCTGGGTGGCTGTTTCACTTATTCAGAAGAGAAATCAAATCAAAAGAGCGCTCCAAGTTAAACACAAAAGTTATAGAATAATCCCTCCAAAGAGAAGAAATAAAAATATAATTCTTCACATTTATCCATTCACTTTCATCCCAAAGTACCTTAGAGAGATCATTCACTCACTGTGGAAATGCAGCAGCCACTGGATGGAAACCTGATAACCTATGTGAGCCAGAAACTCTTTAAAAGAGGGGAAGTAAAAATAATTCACCCAATTGAAAAAATAGCAGGAATGTAGGCTGGAAAAATGGAGCTACCTGAGTTGGAATTTGGCAAGCTCAGTACAGCTTATTCTGACTGAGAAAGAATGCATTAATGTGGTATTCTGTGACCACACATGTTCTCTGCTGATGGGTTAAGACAAAACTCCAGCAAAAGATGACTATTGTTAGACTATTGCTACTTCTTAGTTTCATGGTTAATTTTATGTCACACAATGTTTAATGTTTGTTCACATGAAGACAAATTTAATGATAAAACACTGAAACTGGTAGCATACTCATAAAGCTACTTGACCTCAAAAAAAAAAGGTGCTTGCAAATTAGAGAATTTTCTATTTGACTCCCTAGTTTCAGATGAAGTTTTAATTCAGTTAACTTAAATTCAGTTGACTTAAGAGCATGTGGAGAAGGGGTTAATAAAAAATATAATAAATATTGAAGCTTGTTTGATAGAAGACAAGTTATAAAGCACATTTTTATTCAATGTCTAATGTAATTTAGAAATGAAACCTTGATAGCTTGTAATGATTCTGTGTGACAAAGGATTTAAGGAGTAAAAGCAAGATTCTTACTGCACTGTGTTGTATATGTTCAGCAACTAATCAAAATGAAATCATAATATTAAGTAGGCTTGAGCTTCCAATGGCTCTTTGTAGTAACACAATTAATTTTGGTAGCATATCAACTCATATCTCAGGTGCAGTATTTCTGCATTTTAGCCAAGTTTTCCTCCAATGTGATTGGTCCTACTGTATTTGAAGTGGTTTTAAGTAACTGTCTGAAGAAGACAAGGCATTATAACTTGCTTTTAAAAGCAGCTTGTTGAAACAATGAATTGCTGTAAAATGAATTGCTGCACTGCTTATCCATGGCTTTCAAATCATCCAAATATAGTTAGTAATTATCTTGCTACTAAATTGTTAAGTTCGGTGATTGGCCAAATAAAAATCCAGGAAATAGTGTTCTTTATGTCATATGTCATTTTGGCCAAGAAGAATATATTTTTGCTGACTCTTTTTATCAATTATGTCTCATATAATACTGCAATATTCTAAGTAAGAAGATATTATCTTCAGTAACATTACAATCTACCATAGTTTCTCCTTTAAATTCTATTGCCATTTTTAAAAAAATTTTATTCTGACCCACACTTATATTACCAGTTCCAAGTGTAATCTTACCATGCCTGAAGTGTCTAAGGTATGATAGGACACATGTTGCTAGTTTTTGGGGCAAAAAAACACCCTGATTTGTCATGTACGTTTTGACGCTTTACTTTGAAAGTATTAACTTTGTTGTTGGGGTATTTTTAGGGATGGATTTCAAAGTAAATATTCACTAAATTTTATTTCAGCAAATAATTACTAATAAGACATTTTATTGTACATGAATTTTTTTCTACACTTTTTTCCTGTTACTTTTTTCAGCAAAAAAAAAAAAAAAAAAAAATTACGAAGTTTACAGCCGCTGAAATCCTCTTCCTGACTGAACTTTTATCCATAACAATACCTTTGTGAATATATATCCTCATTATTAATTTTGTAAATTAAAGGTCAATGTCAATTGAGTGAAAGGGAGTTGAATGCATGCAGAGAAAATTTAAGTTATTGTTTCAAGTTCTTCATAACAAAGCATTTTAAATAAATAATTGTTTATTTTTAGTTAACAATAATTACATTCAGGGAATATATCTGGCACAAAGTAAGATCATTTATTAGAAAAATAAATGAAAAAATTCTAAATGAAGTTAGAATATATGTCTTTATAATGATAAGTTCTACAAACATAAGTAAATGTACTGCCTGGTTTTTTGAATTCACCCTAACTGTATAGAAACCTCAGGTTATTCCCTTACCACTTTCCTGCCCCAAAAGAATATCTATAATTTCTTATCCAAGGCTTCTGCTCATGGTCTCACACTTGGCAGAATGCCCATTATCCACATGCTTACTGTAGCTTCTGGTCATGACTGCTAGTCTCTAAGGAGCTATTTAAATACTTTGCTTATGATTCCTTCACAATGAAAAGAAAATCAAAAGAGGTAAAAGAAGAAGAAAAAAGCCGCACTCTCCAATTCTCTGCTTATATTCTCTCCTTTGAGAATCTGATTTAACCATGATGGTATCAATATCATTGGTTTGCTACCAAGAAAACTCAAGAGTACAGCCATGGGTCCTGGCACACACAAATGAACAGATTCAAAAGATGGTTTTCTTTTTCCTTCATGCCTCAAACCACCTTCTTAACATTGATAGCTGGTGCTAATCATCTGCCCAAACCAAAACACACCGAAAGCCAAAACAACAGCTAAAGGCCTGATAAAATCACACATTCTTTCTGGTGTCTTTCAGCATCCTAAGCAGAATGTGAGTGTGAACTGCAATGTTGAAATATGTGAGCCATTTTCAACCATCCTCATCCTCCCAAGTGCATTTTTTTTTTTTTTTTTTTTTTTTTTTGAGATGGAGTCTCCCTCTGTCCTCAGGCTGGAGTGCAGTGGAGCCAGATCGGCTCACTGCAACCTTTGCTTCCCAGGTTCAAGTGATTGTCCTGCCTCAGCCTCCCGAGTAGCTGAGACTACAGGCACGCGCCAACATGCCCAGCTAATTTTTATATTTTTAGTAGAGACAGGGTTTCACCATGTTGGCCGGAATGATCTTGATCTCTTGACCTCATTGATCCGCCTG